AATACTAACTTCTTCAAAGTAAGATATTTAATGATCTTTCAAAATGGGGTGTACGATGGACTTACCTCCACGTGGTGCACCCTGGGCAACGTATACTCATAAGGCAAAAAAGTCTATTAACTGGCAGTTGACTTCTGACCTCAAACTACCATCACCCCACTGTATCCATCTTACCTTTTCTCTGCCTTTATGTCTGTCTGTCTGTCCCTTTTACATCTGTGAATCACTCTTCTTTTACCCCCTGTCGAATTTTCTCACTTTGATGTTCCTCCCCTCGGTGAAGCTCGAGGTCAGCTAAAGGGCTAATGATATTATCAAAACGCCTGCCATTTGATATAAATAAATAAATAATGATCTTTCAAAATCATACTTTCATCTCGACATCAGATTTTAATCTAATAGCCGGAATGCATACTGCTTCGAAGCGGGTTCAATACTGCAGACATTTATGATTACTGACCGCGTACAGTCACGATTCTGACCCATTGCGAACGCATTAAAACACTCCTCTCAGCAGGCTTTAAATTAGTTGATGTGGTCACCTCTAACCAGTTCAGGCCCGTTTGCCTTACATACCCGAATTTCACATGCCCTCCTAAAGCGTAAATTGAATTTTGAACCAGTAAGTGCGTAATTCTATGACTAAATGACCTTCTGTGGGTGAATACCGGGGTATACAATTTATTGCCATCACAGTCAAAATCAGAGGTGAATAAATCTGAAATCACAAAATCAATGTTAAGGAGTCGGAATAATTTCTTGCTTAGATGGTGAAAATTGTTTAGAGCACGCTAATAATGGTAGATAACATATACTAAACTAAAACTATGAGAACTAGTACCATTCTGCAATTGTGGCCATTGGGAGAAATTTTTTGATATTTTTAACTGAAAAACGCCTTTTCAATAACGAGGATGCTTAGAGCATCATAACCCTGCAAATTTGGCTATGTACTTTCTATTGCAACCAAATTAATTCGTACCATGTGAGATTAAGAAGGTGATAAAGGAATGCAATTCTTCGCTCAAAATCACCAAAATCTACTGAAATTTTCACCCACTCGCCTTGGAAGGCAAAGCCTCAACCAATAGTGTAAGGATATCTCAAAAAATGTTTTTTTTTAAAGGCAAGGATGCCCCTTCTTCTATAAATAGAACCCCATAGAAATCCATCAAATTCATTTTCTTCTTCCTCTTAAAGTTAGCCACCTGTCTTTCCAATTATATTTTCAATGCGGCTCTTTTATAATAAATAAACAAATGTGCAAGAGTGAAATAGAATGAATTTAAAGATATGCAAATGCTCGCCACATCAGAACCTCTATATTACAAGACAAAAGAACGTTCCTTGGGATCAATAGTTTCTATTTTATAAAAGAGAGTATTACGAAACCTCTGAGCTTAATAACCGATTGATCAATAAATCTAATGATCTTTAGTTACTTCACCCAGAAAAGCTCTGTTGATGTTTATGACGAGGTACGACGCGTATTGGGAAAAGTTGACTCTATGCTCATAGGAAGTTGAAAGAGGCTGGCCCATGTAGAGAATAGGCAACATAAAAATTGCTCGAGATTCGAAGATTTCATACTGTGGGTTTAATAGGAAATAAGCAATTGCGATATATATAATTACAAAAATATATAGTTAGAATCGACAACATTTGGCTTAATGTGGAGACATGATAAATTAGTTAGTTGAGTTCTAGAATTTACACTTGCTGACTACTCTCAGTACAGATTGAATTTATTCAACTGAATAAGCTTCAACCGGAGAAGTTTTTTTCGGCGATTGAAGTAAAGCATACGTCTGCTTAGCTAACATGGACCTCTGCAGGACTTTAAAAATATACAGGATAAATTTATGCTAAAGCACGGTTTTGTTTTAATTCACATATAGTTTGATCACGAATCCTGTTTGAATTTTTCGCCAAGGCACGTTTTAAACCAATGTGATTTAAGGACTCCTTTAAATACGCAAATCGAGTTTCATTTATAAATGATCACAGAAATTACAATATAACATTGCCGCCATTGAACTCAGATGAAACTTTGAGATCATTTGCAAATAATCACAAAGTTAAAAGGAATACAAGAGCCCGCAATATATGAACTTTTGAAATGTCACGTATGGCGTTTGAGAACCTCGCGTGAGCCTGTCAAGATAAAACAATACTTGTAACCATGGCTTGATAAGCATTCCCCCCCCCCCCCCCACCCACCCTTAAGGCGAAAGTTAGTTTGGCCACCAAAACAACAGCAAACCCGATAAAAGTCCTTGCATGTAAGGCAATTTGTACGCGACAGGCACTGAAAGTTATTCACAAAACCGCTTTGAGATGAAGATCAAAATAACTCAACAAAAAAACCGATTAAGATTTTATTAAATGAACAAATAACAAAAAATAAAATCGCTACCATGAATGGCAGAGAGAGAATGTGAATGATACATAATGTAAAGGATGGAGGGGGGGGGGAGCGAACTCATGTACAGGTTTATGTATTAAAACAAGAAAAATTTTCAGTGGTCACAGTGTGTATACAGACCATATAAAAACCAAAAGGAAAAATAGAGGTCAAGGGAAATGATAGAATGTACAGGATAATCATTGATAGAGAAGGGAACACGCACTTTTTCCACTGAAAATATGCAAAAATTGGTAAAAAGTCATTCAACTCCACTCTCAGGAAAATTATCTTTAGAAGAGGCAGTGACTTGTTGAGGGACCACTTCTGATTCAGGACAAGAAAACGAGGAAGGAGAGAAACTCTTAAGTTCACTCTGAGAGAAATCAGACGAATGGGTGGGCAAAATGGTCTGTCTAGGGGAAGAAATGGAATGTGTGAGAGAGGGCAAACTTGAAGTGGAAGGGCTGTTCCTTGACGACTGAATGGAAAATGCAGTAGGAGGGGCAGGAGAAGACGGAGTGGAAACGTGGGGAGTACACTGATTGAAATCTCGAGTAGGGGAACCAAAATTGGGAATGTTGGTGCAAGAAATCTCCGAGGATCTCGGAATCTTGGAGAATTTACAAAAGTTGCTGGGGGGTTCAGGGGAGCTTTCTCGGCTGGCTTCTGTACTGGAGGTCATACTACTCTGTAGGCATGCATAAGACCGTTTCTTACCCCTGCAACCAGCAGAAATAAGAGGGCTTGCACTACTACCACTGCTTACACTAGCAGTTCTCTTTTTTACCACAAATGTAGAAGGAAGATTGACACTTGGAGAGTAGCACTGAACCCTAGAGGAAACGGGTGAGGCAACAGGAGAAGGATAACAGGAAGACGACCGAGAAAGTGAGATTCCTGGGGTGGGAGTTACAGAGACAGGAGGTCTAGATTCAGAAATACTCGTTGAAGAAACGCCTCCAATACCGGGACAGGTTACAGAAATCAGTAATGGACCGCTAAAGGAGTTTGGACGATGACCAATAGGACTGCTTCCTGATGATCCCTGTGAGGAGAAACCACCGTCGGAGTAGTCAGGTTTATCATTACCCGTAAGACGAAGGTTTGCCCAAGAGGATGTAAGCCGGGATGTTTCTGTGAGATGTCGTTCGTGTTTCATTTCATTTTTCATATGTTCTTCGGCCGTCACACAAAACTGTACAGATGAGCGTCTTAACACTCTTCGTTTTTCGTATCCCTGTTCCATGAGTTCAAACTTCATATGATTTAGAAAAGAAATAGAAAGAAATTTTTTAATAAGACCAAATAAACATCAACATTATTATATCGATAGCAAAACAAGACAAAAATGAATAAAAAGGTTTAATTAGGAAAAAAGATGAAGTACTATTATGAAAAATAAACCAGAGTAGAAGGTTTGTAAAAAATCCAATCTAATGAATAAATGAGCCTAATAACTCATAGCCAAAGCAAGAAAGCGGGAATAAACGCACCGGATATCAACACTTCATCACTTTTATGCATTCGTAGAAACGCAAACGCAGCTAATTGTTAAAATAATTTTTTGAGTCACAAACAGATAACATAATTATTAATGTTCCTGTAAAATTTGTATCACATTAATAAAGATATCCAATAATTAATTATTTTAATAGGCAAATTTTTATCAGCATTTGCAATAAATTTGCACTCTTCAGCATGGATAGCTCTCAGAGTTTTATTTAAAATTCATTCGATCAAAATTTATAATGAGCTTTACTTAGGAATCATCTGCTTTTTTTAACATCTCTTGTTAAATATTATTTTCAATTGAAATTCCCAGAGATTTCTTTGAAATTTTCTAAGTAATAAAGAAAAGCCACGAAGATTAACTTATTTAATCATATATATTCGACAACTTATCGCCAAGTTTCCATTTTTCTCTATTCGTTTAACAAACGAAATGTATTATGATCTTGATTCCTGCTGATAATATTTCTTTGAACACTCTTTAATACCAAATTTTCTGACAGACCTACATTTTTGCTCGTGTTGTAAAAGTGGAAAGTTTTTAAATTGCAGAAAATTGATTGACGCAACATTAACATGTCTCTATCATTATATACTTTAAATTATTAGCCTGTCATTGTAGCCACACGTTTAACAATACCTCCAATGTATTTTCAAATATTAAAACATATTCTTCTTTTCAATGTGAACCTGCACAGTTTTTAGAATGAGTACAAAAGATTGCAAGAGTGTTTGGAAAGATACTTTCAATTACAAGGAGTGCTAATGGTATTATTCCTTTGTTCGCTGCACTTCTAAATTCGTTTCTTATGCACTAAAACATTGATAAACGGAAATCGGCACTCTGAATTCGACAAATTAGACTAATAGCATAGAATCTACTGCTATCAATCATTTGGAAAAAGGTTTTTTGGCCTTTTTCCTCCTGATGACTGAATAGTTGTAATTCTCTTTAATGGATCAATGAGCAGATTACACAGAAAACTGTTTTTAGTTCCCAAATGTTTCAAAAAAACGAATGAATTATATGTTCCAATAAAAATCGGAAAAGTTTGAATGACATATTCACAGTAATTTTCTTAATTAATTATCTGAGTTAAACATAATGGCCTGATCCATCATCACATAGATTGAATAAAAGTGAATCATCAACACTTCTATGAAAATGCCTTATTTCGAAAGAATGGTCATAGATACATCGACTTTACATTATCATATTACATGGTTAAAATTTTCGAGGTTTCATTCTTATTTTTTGTATATTACTGTAAACACAAACTTCTTAAATTCATTGAAGAGAATTGTAAACAAGAGCTTTGTAATTGTTGGACAGACTTGTTCATTTTATTCAAGAAAAAAACATAAATTATCAATTCATAGAAAATTATACACTATTGTGAAATATTTTCCCAAATGTGCTAATTGTAAGATCGAAATCTTCGTATAATTGTGAAGTAACGACTACTTTTTCTGCAATTTGAGCCTTCTTATTAAATTATGGAATTTGACTATTCTGGAGACCAATTTGGTTAGTAGAGTAATAAACAGTTCGTGTATTAGGTTTACTTTATTTTCAGTATATAATAAATTCATATAACCAGGAGGGAATTGGGAGTCACGATTATGCGGTTTTCAGAGCAACAGGTGCTTGTTTCCTTTACTGGCAAGGGGAATGGTAGAATTGAGAATGCTGCCTATATGTTCATAAAATATTCGAGACTTATGAGATGCACAGAACAGTTATTGAGGAGCAATTGTGTAGAAAAGTAGTTTATTTGTCAATTTTAGAAGCCTGGCTTATGTTCAAATAAGTTAGTGTTGCTCAAACCATTTAAATTTGGATGGGCCGTAGAAGAGACTGTAAAGCTCAAACTACATCGGGCAAAAGATTTCTAAGTGGCGTCCATCCCGTCTCTTTAAATATATATATAATAGCCCTAGTAAGGTTAAAGTTCATCAGCATTCTTGGCCCAAAATTCTCAACTCTTCATCAGGTAATGCTGATGGAAGTTTTGAAGAGAAATGGCAATTTTCCCAGAGTAGTCAAAGAATTATAAGTTCCAGATAACTCTTCTCAACGAAAGCATGTGAATCATCAAAAAAAAACAGTTCAAACTAATTTAAGTAATTAAGCATAGTGTAGTTATCTCAACATTTTTGACTTTCGGTTGTATGGAGACTTTTCTTCCGGCTCTTTGATGGACCGACACAAATTTTGGAATGATCTATGGCATTTCCAAAGTTAAATGTTTCTTAGTTGGGGTGTGCGATAGACTTACCTCCACGTGGTGCACCCTGGGAAACGTATATTCATACGGCAAAAAAGTCTACTAACTGGCAGTTGACTTCTCACTTCTAACTACCATCACCTCACTCTACGCCATATTTGACTATATCCACAGTACTCACCTCACCTTTTTCTACCTTTGTGTTTGTCTCTTACATTTTTGAAACACTCCTCTGTTCACCCCCCCTCTCGACTTTTTTTCAATTTGATGTACCTTCCCCTCCGTGAAGCCTGAAGTCAACTAAAGGGCTAATGATAACCATCAAGACGCCTGCCATTTGACATAAATAAATAAATAAATGTTTCTTAGTTTGATGCTCTTGTATGGAAAAGTGCCCACTGCACTTTCCAAGCAGTGAATTTAGCTGCTGAATAGTCTTGATAAGAGGTGAGTATGACCGAATTTAAGCTCCTCAAAAGGAATGACCCATGCGATAGTCTTGAACTTGAGTAGCAAAGGTGAGAATGCAAAAATTGGAATAGGAAGACAAAGATTAGCTTCTTTATTCGTCAGAAGAATTAACAGAGATGGATTCAGAAGGGTAGATGAAAATTAAGAAGATAAGCCCAATACTTTTATGAAGGCTGGAAGTCGATTTTACCAAACCGGAATAAAATGTCTTCTTACATATCTCATCCTTTAAGGTAAGTAGAACTCGTTACTGACTTATCAATCCTATTCACTCATTTAATCCTACTTGATATCGATTACACGCCTGTATGTGCCATACTAATGTGTCTATGATCTTTTGTAAATGCGATCTAACTGGCTTGGCTGTAGTGTTGACCATTTAAAGCCATGAACATAAGGCACCAACGCAACTCTTAAATTGACCTATTTCATAAAGTAATGAAATATTTTAATTATGATAATGAAATAAGGCAGAGACAGATGCGATTTCAACGGTTAATTTCGCAAGGTGCTATCTCGATTATCCCACAATTATTTTGACGGCTATCTAAATTTTAAGGATTTATATTTTCTTTGAAACTCTTTCTATATTTTATAAAATTTATGAATTCTAACTTAATTAAGCGCGCTAAAAGGCCTAAAATATACATCTAAAAGTAAAAATGTATATATTCTGGATTTCAAAGTATTTCTGAACAAGTATTTTCTGGATGACCTAGTATTTGTTGGTTGTATTATTTACCTTTAGTCGAAATATACTTATTTATTAAAATGTCTCGGAATTTGATGCAATCAGCCGGTGGAATTTGAGAGCACTCCAAAATTGTGCAGCATGCAGCACTCACAAAGAACTAAAGGAAGATGGTTATTTTTAATATACGATCTCCACATAACCGGTAGTCTCTCAAACTGAAAAATTCTCTCAGGCTAACTTGATTAACCCAATGATTAATCTATGTCGGTTTTTCCATAAAACCTTGCAACTTTAAATGCCGCGGTTAACAGGTAGGGCAGGCCCTATAATATGTAAATGAACATGAAGAACAGAGATACATCTGGATCTTGAGTTCCAGTTTGTTCCTTTTGTTGTAAACATCTTAGGAATACTTGAGAAGTAAAATTTCAGGTGGATAAAACTTCTCAAGCTGATTGAGGAAACAATTATTCCACCCCCCAAAAGAATTGCGAATTAAAGAATGATTGACTGTACCACTTCCATTTTCACAGTTCTTCATGTAAGTAGTATGTACCAAAAATGGTAAGCATTTTATATTCTGCCTAAATTTTAGAACAAAAAAGACATTCGGGATGAACAAACTTCCTTATACGATAAACAGGTTCCAAAAATGTAAGTCTCTTAGCGACTACAAGGGACAGACTTATTCGTACGCAACAACACAAAAATTGTCACCAGTTTTAATTGGGAGAAAGTTACTTAAATGGAGTAGGACGATTTCATCACGAAACAAGGGAAATGAATAGGATCGTACTAAATTCAAGTAATGGCCAGATCACTGCTTCATTTTCAAAATTCAATTTCTGCGTTTCTTCCCATGGAGTAGCAATCAAATTCTTGTTAAATTCTAATACATATTGACCTATTATTTAATTATAGTGGCCTGGCCATGTAATTGCCATCCACTTCTTTCTATTAAGTTGGAATGCTTAAAGCATCTGTGTCCGTTTCCGAATTGCAGTTGATAGAATTTTCCCATTGGATTAAATTCAAATTCGAATACTTCCATATTCAAGATCTCAAATGGGCATATTTATGTAATTAACTTAATAAAACGAAACGATTCAAATGAAATTTTTGCCTAGTTATTCGCTTCCTATTGGCAGCTAACGATAAGTTTTCTTTAACAACTAAATCTCGAGCATTTTTCATTTCCTTTCAATTATCAGCACGTAACTCAAAATAAGCCAAATAAAATATAATTTAACAAAAAGATAAATCAATGATAATTTGTCGATTAATTAAACAGCCCTATTCATCATACAATTTCAATCAACTTAAGTAAAGTACCACTACATGATCTTAAGAAAGTAGAGA